CGAACCGGAGCACCCCCAGACGCAGCAACCCCAGGCTCCGTAGGCTCAGTAGCAGCACCCCCAGGCTCAGTACCCTCAGGCGCAGCACCCCCAGGCTCAGCACCCCCAGTCGCAGCACCCCCAGGCTCAGCACCCCCAGTCGCAGCACCCCCAGGCTCAGCACCCCCAGGCGCCGAACTCTCAGGCACAGTACCCTCAGCTCCAGCACCCGCAGTCCCAGCACCCGCAGCCCCAGCACTCCCAGGCCCAGCACCCGCAGGCTCAGCACCCCCAGGCTCAGTACTCCCAGCAGCACCACCTGCAGCAGCACCTGAGTCACCTGTGACCTCGACAGGCTCAGCGACGGGAGGAGGGTCTACCTGAGAGACACCGGAAGGAGCAGGACCCTGAGGGGGAAGGGGGTCTACCGGAGGGGGACCAGGAGCGAGGAAAAGCGGCGGGGGAGGGAGAGGGGCAGTGCGGTAGGGGAAGAGACGGTAAAAAGGGACCGACTCGTCAAAGGTGACGTCCTGAGAGGCGAAGACCCGGCGCGAGGTGGGGTGGTAAAACTGCCAGCCAGGCGCGTCAGGGACAAAGCCAAGGAAGACACAGGGAAGTGTGCGGGAGGAGAGCTTGTCCGCGGACGTATCGCGGACAAGGGCACGAGCACCCCACACCCGGAAGCGCGACGCATCGCCAACCTCCCCCGTCCAACGCAGTGTGGGCGAGGTCTCCGGCAAGGAGACACGGGGCCAGAGGTTGAGCTGATGCGCGGCGTACCGGACAGCAAACGGCCACAGAAAATGGGGAGCTGCCGCGTGGACCAAGGAGGTACGAGCGACCTCCATGACCAGGCCAATGCGGCGCTCAGCAACCCCATTCTGCTGTGGAGAGTCCGGAAGCGTGAAGGTCTGCTCGATGCCCTCCGCCTGACAGAAGGTCCTCAAGAGGTCGGAGGAAAACTCACCACCTCTGTCAGAGTGCAGACGCAGGACAGGAAGATCCGTCCGGAAACGGCGGCGGAGCTGGAGACGAACTGTGCGGATCCAAGGGATCAGAACAGCAGGGACCTCACCCTTGGTGCGCAAGGGGAAGACCGTGGTGTAACGCGAGTAGTCGTCGACGACCAGCAAAAAGTACCGCTCACCGCCCTGACCACGAACGCGGGCTGGGCCCCACACGTCCAGGTGGAGGGTCTGCAGAGGAGCCTCTGTCGGGGGGAACGAGGAGGAGTGAGGAGCGGCGCGCTGCCGCCCCTCGACGCAAGGAAGGCAAGGCGGCGCAGGCGAGGCAGGGAGGGGAGGGAGGGACCTGGGAAGACCAGACACAAGGAGGCGACGGTGCATGCCACGGAGGCGTGGCAAGGAGGGGTGACCCAGGCGGTGGTGCCAGAGAAGAGTCTGGTGCGACAGGGAACGACACTCACAGGCGTGGGCTACCAGACCTGACGCGGACACCTGACCGACAGCAGCGACCTGAGGAGACGCAGTGGTCAGTGTGTAGAGACTCGACCCCGGCTGACGGGTAAACGTAGCCAGGTGACGGCCGGTCCTGGAGCACGTGAGGATCGCCACACGCTGTCCTCCAGGGGTAAAGGTGTCAACCCACTGATCCTGGATGACAGCGTTGCTCACCAGGTTCGTCGAGAACGAGGGGAGGTGGAAACCCGACAACGAGCCAGACGGAACCGCTGGACACGGGAGCACAGTGGTGGACCGTGCAAGGACGGGGCCCCCAGAGGGGTCAGCCAAGGAGACTGGGACCGGTGCAGGAAGCGGTGTGAGCTCAGTACGGTCACGAAAGAAACAGCGGGAAGCACCTGAGTCAAGGGTGAAGGTGTGACAGGTCTCAGCCGGTGCAGTACCTGAGAGAGCAGTCTCTGTGGGTGCTGTACCTGAGAGAGCAGACTCACAAGCAGCAGGGACAGTACCGGAGGGAGCAGCCACAGAGGGCACCATACCAGAGAGAGCAGACTCACTAGTACCTAGGGCAGCGGGCTCTATACCTGGGTCAGGCGGCACACACAAGTAACAGTCTCCCTCGGCACTAACAGTCAATGCATACATGGCAGCAATAATAGCATCATAGTCAAGAGCAAAGATATCAACACCAGCCCTCATGAGCTCAGCCCAGCGGGGGCGCTCAACATCCTCGCCCATCTCCTCACGCCAAGCGTCGTCAAGGCGGGAGAAACAGCGGTACGGGGTGTGGAACCTCCCACACGTCTGTCCCTTGCGGTCACCTGTGCGAATGACATAGGAACAGCGGCCACTGCCCCCCGACGTCCCACGCTGAGCAAGCCACTCACGAAGCTGCTGGGTCGTCTGGGGACGCTGCTGCTGCTGGGAGCTCTGGCCCGAGCCAGTGCCTCCACTCCGACCTCCGCCGCCACCACTACCTCCGCTCCGACCGCCACCGCCGCCACCGCCACCGCCGCCACCGCCGCCGCCGCCACCACCGCCACTGCTCCCTCCGCCGCCCCCGCCTCCGCTGCCGACCCCACTCCCACCAGCACTCCCGCCACCGCTCCCTCCAGCACCGCCTCCCCCCCCACCTCCCCCACCTCCTCCCCCCCCAGCGCCACCCCCGCCACCCTTGCCCCCCTTGCCCTTGCCGGTGCGGCGCCTCCCACCAGGAGCAGAAGCAGCGCCAGCAGACTCAGCACCAAGGAAGTCAACAGCAGCAGCAGTAGCGTAGGAGGGAGCGAGGGGAGAGGGAGAACACCCCTCAAAGATGGGGGTGCGAGGAGCGCCACGAGCAGCACCGACAGCTACAATGGTCTTCTCGGCCGCTAGCAGCTGCTCCTCTAGGAGGGCGACTGTGAGCTCAGTGGGACAGCGAGCAAGGAAGTGGTCTCGAACTGAGCTGAGGGTGTCAGGGAGACGGGTGACTATGAAGTGGAGTGTCCAGTACAGTGGAGGGGGGTGAGTAGCGCAGAACTCGGTGGGAAGGGCGGCACGCAGGCGAGCATCACTAGTGCGAAGGTGGGTGATAAGATCGGCGACTGTAGTAAAGGTGGACAGGTCAGGGAACAGGTAAGGCAGCATGAGGCGGCTAAGCTCGGCTGTGGCAGGCGAGGAGTAGCGAGCAACGACAGCGTCGTACAGGGCCTTAGCGGATTTGCAGTCGCCAAAATGCTCGAGCTCAGCTAACGGCAGGTGACTGCGAATGGCTAGGCGAGCAGCTGCGTCACGAGTCTGCCAGTGGGAACGAACACTAAGCTCAGCTGTGGCGGGAGGGGCAGGCGCTGCACCAGACGCGTAGTCATAGAGCGACACATGCTCCTTGCTATCGCTCAGGAGGAACAGCTGCAGGTCATCTAGCCAAGTGGTGAACTGCACAGGGCGGCCCTCAGCATCGAAGGACAGCACGCGGATGGAAGCCATAGCGACAGTGCGACTGAGCAAAGCAAGCTGCCGCAGCGCTGCAAGCAGGGAGCTCGGTGGGGAGCGCGGCGGGCGGGCGGCGCTCTGAGCGGGCAGCGTGGCAGGTAGCGCGGCGGGCAGGCGGCGCTGCAAAGAGGCAGCGCGACGGGCGGGCGGCGCTGTGAGCGGGCAGCGCGACGGACGGGCGGCGAAGCGGGCAGCGCGGCGGGCAGGCGGCGCTGCAAGCGGGCAGCGCGGCGGGCGGGCGACGCTGCGAGCGGGCAGCGCGGCGGGCGGGCTACGAAGCTGGCAGCGCGGTGGGCAGGCGGCGCTGCAAGCGGGCAGCGCGGCGGGCGGGCGACGCTGCGAGCGGGCAGCGCGGCGGGCGGGCGACGCTGCGAGCGGGCAGCGCGAGCGGGTAGCGCGGCGGATGGGCGGCGCTACTGGCGGGCAGTGAGGCGGGCAGCGCGGCTGGCGACGCGCGGCGCGACGGGCAGCGCTACGGGCGGCGCGACGAGCAGCGCGGCGGGCGAGGGCGCTAACGAGGGGCGCTAACGAGGGCGCTAACGAGAGGCGCGCGAGGGCGCTAACGAGGGCGCGCGAGGGCGCTAACGAGGGCGCGCGAGGGCGCTAACGAGGGCGCACGAGGGCGCTACGAGGCTAGGGCACGGGGTAGCGTGGTAACCGCATGCGAGCGGTGGTGGGCCCTTAAAAAAAAAACGGTCGGTAGGTCCTAGGGACCTCCTGCTCTGAATACCATCTCAACAGGACTAGGCAAGAATGAGTGCATTGAAAGAACAGTTGGGTACAAGTAGCTAACCCTAGTTGGGTTTGTACCCTGTATTGGCTACCCCACTACAGCCTACCCACATATAAATAACACATTACAACTTAACAAGAGAGGGGGGGGGAGAGAGAGAGGGAGAGAGAAGGGGGGGAGAGAGAAGGGGGTGAGAGAGATGGGGGGAGAGATGGGGTGAGAGAGGGGGGGGAGAGAGGGGGGGAGAGACAGGGGGAGAGAGAGGGGGGGGGGGAGAGATGGGGAGAGAGGGGGGAGAGATGGGGAGAGAGAGGGGGGGAGAGGGGGGGAGATATGGGGAGAGAGAGTGGGGGGAGATAGGGAGAGAGAGGGGGGGAGAGATGGGGAGAGAGGGGGGGGGGAAGGTGGTTGAATATGGAGGGCAAGTCTGTGCCGCGTCCACCTGCAAGTAGTATGTGTGGTGGTTGCAGCTCATCATCTGGTGGGGGGAGTGGGGGGAGGGCGAGGTGTGAGCATGGGGCCATATTTGGGCAGTTTGGGTGCCGTGGTTCACCTTGAAATAAGGGGCCATGAGAGTCGATTTTTGAGTCGACTCAAAAATAAGGGGCGATGAGGGCTTCACCGTTTGATATAAAGAGGGACATCCACGGAAAAAGACTAGGAGAACGAGGCACATCCAGAGACTTTTGTTGAAAATGCATGTGCAGGGAGGCTGGAGGAGGGGAGAAGTGGATCAAGAAGGGCACATACAAGGATTGCTGAAGATGGATAAACAGGAATGTCGGAGCAGGGGGTCAACGCAGTCAATGCAGTCAAGATGTCGATGTGATTAGTTCAGTGAATGTAGTCAAGAGGGATGTTTTGAGACATCCCAACGCAGTCAAGGGGAGACGTACAGGGAGGCCGGAGCAGGGATCAATGTAGTCAGCGAAGTGGCCCTTCTGTGAGAGGCGCTCCACGAGAGTCGATGCAAACGCTGCAAACTGCAGAGGAGCGGGCAGATGGGCGGGCAGAGGCGCGGACAAATGGGCGGGCATGAGGGGCAGGCAAATGGGAAGGCAGATGGGCGAGCACGAGGGGGTGAAGGGAGGAAATGGCAGGAAGCCTTTGTGAGCGAGGCAAGAGGTGGTTACGAGGCCAAAGGCGGAGGCAGTGAGGCGCAGAGAGGAGGCGGGCAGGCAGTCAGAGGAATCAAAAGCACTGGCAGGCAGAGACGGGTCTGGAGCCTGGAGGCTAGACGCACGAAGGGCACAGGGCAGGTGAGGGAGTTGCTGCTGCTGCAAGAGTCGTGTTTTGAGTCGACTCAAAACACAAGATGGCGCGAGAGGCAGATCATGAGGTCTGATAGAAAAGCGGGCAAGTTGTTGTAAATCCGTTATCCGACCTTGCACAGGACTACAAAACACTGCATACTCGTTATTACCGTCTCCAATAAGCGGTCCTTCTCCCTCTCAACCTCCTCGCCCGTGTTCACCAGATCCACGCGCGCCCTCTGCTGCGTGGGCAGAATCAAAATTTCCGACACGTCCTGCCCGGGAAACAGGGACTCCATGTCCTGCTTGTACTGCCGCAGGCAGCCTGAAGTGAAAAAACCGGTAGAGAGAGGGTCGAGAGGGGGGAGATGGTGAAAAGGAAGCGTTTTGAGACGTCTGGATTTGAGACATCTCATTTTTTTAAAAGATAAAAACGACAAAGAGAGGGCAGAGGGAGGAGAGGGAGGAGATGGAGAGGAGGAGCGGAGGGAGGGCGTCAGGAGGAAAGGGGCTGGCGGGATGTAGGGGGGGAGGATGGATGCATGGATCATGACGCGAGGATGGGAGCAGTAGCAGGGTGGTGAGACATAGCTGAGGAGGGAAAGGGAAGGGGAAGGAAGGTAACGAGCAAGTGGGTGGGAAGGTAATAGTAGGCATGGTGTTGTGAGGGTTATGGGATGCAGCGGAGGAGGATTGTCGCAGGGATGGTCGCATGGATGGTCGCATGGATGGTCGCATGGATGGTCGCATGGATGGTCGCATGGATGGTCGCATGGATGGTCGCATGGATGGTCGCATGGATGGTCGCATGCGGATGTAAGTAGCAGCAGAAACGCACTGTTGAGCACAGAGGAGAGTTGAAACGGCACGTGGAGAGCACGTGCTGGCGTCACGGACCGTATTGCATTCAAAGTCCGTGAAATCGCGAAGTGGCCGTACTAGAAGCGTCGTGAGACGGAGATTTTAGACCAGCGGGTTCAACTCGCGTCGCGAAAAAAAGACTCACTCAACTGTGAACGGAGTATTCGAGGCCGGCAGACGTCCGCAGCACGTCAGTCAGCGCGTACTTCCGTCTAAACTGACAGTCTGCAGGCTTCGCCGTCGCGCCATCGCCGACGGCCGTCATCTCTGCCGGCTGCCGGCAGACGTCGTCAATTGAGGCGCTAACGACGTCGGAAGGGGTGCTGGTAGCGGCACTGGAAGAGCTAACGTCGTTTTGAAGCCGGCAGAACTGACGGCCGGTAACTCGCGACGGCGACGGATGAGAGCTCGACGAGCGACTGGGAACGGGAGAGGCGCAGGTGAGGAGCAGCGGGAGAGAAAGGGCCGAGAATGGGACGCGTGACAGAAGTGGGGGACGGGGAGAGAGAGGGAGGTCGATTAGAAGGGTGCGTGCGATCCGTCTCGTGCTGTGCAGTGCGATCCGTCTCGTGCTGTGCAGTGCGATCCGTCCCATGCTATGTGTGGAAACTAGTAAGAAACTGGGTAGGAAGGTTGACGAAGCCAGACTGGGGTAGAAATCGGTTCTGAAAGTTAAAGACGGATTTCTGTAGGCTTCAGCAAGGTGCGACGGAGTGAGACAAGGGTTTGCGTTTTGAGCAGCCAATCCCGTTACTGAGCTCCCGTTTCAGGACAAACAAAATCTGGTGGGGGATTCTTGACATGTGCTGCCATGTGCTGCCATGTGCTGCCATGTGCTGCCATGTGCTGCCATGTGCTGCCATGGGCCCAGCCCATCCATGGCACCACGAGCACGAAAGGCGCTTGACCCTTAATCTGAAGAGCATGTGCCGCATGCTCATGGGTAGGCTGTTGAGCAGGACGGACGTAGAAAGAAGAGGGGCCGACAGGATGGAAGGAGACCTAGTGGGCGTTGAAAGAGGAGAGGCTTGTGAACTTGAGCATGTGCTCCCAGGGCATCACCACAGCAGGCATGTGCTCCCAGGGCATCACCACAGCAGGCGCTCATTTATATTATCTAAAGCCAATGTGCTGTGCGCCCGGGCAGAGCAAGAGAGGATGGAAGGAAGGCTCGTGGTGGAAGGAGGAGAGGATCTTGAGCTTGAGCATGTGCTCCCTGGGCATCACGAGCAAGAGAGCATGTCGTGTGCTCTTACGGAAGGTGGGGAGGCTAGCGGGCAATACAGGTTGAGAGGCTATCGGGTGTTGAAGGAGGAGAGGCTTTTGAACTTGAGCATGTGCTCCCAGGGCACCACCAGCACGGGGCATGTGCAGTTGTGCAGCAGGTAGTTGCTCACACTGCCCTTCACGGCGCTGTGGGGTGGGTAGGGGTGGGGTGTGGGAAGGAAGGTTGGGAGGGGAGGAAAAGCAAGGATGAAGAAGCAGGAAAGAGAGACGTCAGTTGTGCAATAAGTAAAGACGGGGAAATCAGGGAGATGGGAAAGGAGTTGAGGGATGGAACGGAAGGGCCGAGGAGAGAATAAGGAGAGAGCAACAGCTCACTCACCTGCCATCACCACTACTCACCTAGCAGCAGCACTGGGCTACCAGCAGCAGCTCAATGTCCTGCCTCACCACCGCTCTATGCACTCACACCAGCAGAATCTGTTGGTGCTGACTCAACAAAGCACCCACAACACCACTCACCTGCCACCAGCATTCCCTCACCTAGCAACAGCGCTGAGTTGTCGCGTGCCCACAACCAGAAGCTCTATATCCTGCCGCACCACCGCCTTGGATATCTCCTGCCGCCGGTCACTCGCCTTGCGCGACACTCCATGACAGGTCACCTGGCGGTGTGTGGCGGATGAGGAGAGCATGTGCATGTGCATGTGCATGTGCATGTGTATGTGCATGTGCATGTGCATGTGCATGTGTGCATGTGCATTACAACACACGTTGATCTGGTGAAGGTCAACCGGTGAGTGGCTTAGGAGAACACAGCAGGGCAACTTCTGGGATGCTTCAAAGGCCAGGACACACCGTGACAGATAACCTGGTGAGGTATGAGAAGAGAGGAGCACATTATGTCACATGTTTGACTCGTGGGTAACTTTGTGCGATGCCCTGTGATGACTGCCCTCGTGTCTTAAAACGGGGGTAACATCATGACATACACCTTGATTTCAAGGCTAAACCCCTAGGGTAGCTCTGCAAGCCACACTGCATCAGGCTCTTCCCCTCAGCGTCACTCAATCCCCCAAGCGATGCTCCTCACCCCCTTTTCATGCGCCAGGTTGAGGAAGCGGGGCAGCACCGCATCCATGCGTGCATCTATGCCTGCCTGACGTGGCGTCTCTGCCTGTAGGGCCGCCTCGCCTCCAATACGGCATTAGAGCCAGCCAGTACGACGCTCACCCCACCCACCGGTATGAAAGTCGCCCACTTAACGTGTGCCTGTCAGCTTGTGGTAGCAGTGCAGTAGCACATCCACATGTGAATCTATGGCTGCCTGTACACCTTTTCAGTCGACTCCAAAGGTGACTTCTGAGTCGACTCAAAAGTCACCTCATCCACATGTGAATCCATGGCTGCCTGCACACCTTTTCAGTCGACTCCAAAGGTGACTTCTGAGTCGACTCAAAAGTCACCTCATCCACATGTGAATCTATGGCTGCCTGCACACCTTTTCTTGTGGTCCAGCCGGTAATCAGCCCTGCCTTACGTGTGCTAGCATGGCGCTCACCCCACCCCACCCATCCACTCACCCCCTTGCTGTGAGCCAGCTTGCTGTGGCGGTGCAGCAGCGCGTCAACACGCGCGTCGATGGCTGCCCGCACCTCGTTGCTGCAGGTGCTGCTGCTGCTGCTGCTGCTGCTACTTCCCGCAACACACATCCCGTGCACTACTCAACCTCACCCCCAACCCAATGACACTCACCCCCTTGCCAAGCGCTAGCTTGTGGTAGCGGTGCAGCAGAGCATCTATGCCTGCCCGCACCTCCCCGCTGCTGCTGCTGCTCGCCACACTCATCCCACCCACCACGGCTGAGCGAAGAACAGTCGTGTCGGCGCAGCTGCACCAGTACCGGCAGCTCCAGCAGCTCCAGCACCTCCAGCAGCTCCAGCACCTCCAACAGCTCCAGAAGCTCCAGCCCCAGAACCGACACCTCCAGGCCCAGGGTCTCCAGCCTCAGTGCCTCCAGCAGCAGCACCCCCAGAACCAGCACCTCCAGTCCCAGGGTCTCCAGCAGTAGCACCCCAAGAACCAGCACCTCCTGTCCCAGGGTCTCAAGCAGCAGCACCCCCAGAACCAGCACCTCCAGTCCCAGGGTCTCCAGTCTCAGTGTCTCCAGCAGCAGCACCTCCAGACGCAGCACCCCCAGCCCCAGCAGCTCCAGTACCTCCAGTACAAGCACCTCCGGGACCAGCGACTCCAGCACCTCCAGTAGACAAAGGACCAGCACCACTCCTAGCTCCAGGGACGTCAGCAGAAGTACCTCCAGCAGCAGAGCCCCGGGCTCCAGCAGCGCGACCCTGACGGCGACCGTACCAGTCGTGCAGCTGCTGCGAGGTGAGAGGCACACGTGGACGAAGGCGGCTACTCCAAGGAGACCGCGCAACAGCAGACTCAGAACCCTCAGCACCAGCACTCCAAACTGCTCCAGAACCTCCTGCGCCAGCACCCTCAGCACCAGTTTCTCCAGCAGCTCTAGAACCACCAGCGCCAGCACCCTCAGCAGCTCCAGAACCTCCGGCGCCAGCACCCTCAGCAGCTCCAGAACCCCCAGTGTCAGTACCCTCAGCAGCTCCAGAACCTCCAGCAGCACGGCCCTGACGGCCAAGGTACCACTCAACCAGCTGCAGGGAGGAGAGGGGGAGTGGACGACGAGAGGGCAGCGGCGAGGCACCAGCGGAGCGACTACGGAGACGGCCGCTCCAGGGAGACAGCTCACCAGACGCCTCAGCAACCCCAGGTGCAGCACCCCCAGACTCAGTGTTGCCAAGCTCAGCAACTCCAGGCCCCACACCCTCCAGCTCCGCACCCCCAGGCTCAGCACCCCCAGGCTCAGCACCCCCAGGCTCAGCACCCCCAGAAGTAGCACCCCGAGCAGGACCTGAGTCACCAGTGACCTCAACCGGCGCAGTAAAGGGAGGAGGGTCTACCTGAGACACACCTGAAGGAGCAGGACCGGGAGCGGGGAGGGGGTCTACCTGGGGAGCACCTGGAGCGAGGAAGAGCGGCGGGGGGGGGAGTGGGGCAGTGCGGTAGGGGAAGAGACGGTAAAAGGGAACCGACTCGTCGAACGTGACGTCCTGAGACGCAAAGACACGGCGCGAGGTGGGGTGGTAAAACTGCCAACTAGGCGCGTCAGGGACAAAGCCAAGGAAGACACAGGGAACAGCGCGGGCGGAGAGCTTGTCCGCAGTGGTATCGCGGACAAAGGCACGAGCACCCCAGACCCGGAAACGCGACGCATCACCCACCTTTCCCGTCTACAGCAGTGTGGGCGAGGTCTCCGGCAAGGAGACACGGGGCCAGAGGTTGAGCTGATGCGCGGCGTACCGGACCGCAAACGGCCACAGAAAATGGGGGGCAGCCGCATGGATCATGGAGGTACGAGCGACCTCCATGACTAAGCCAATGCGGCGCTCAGCAACCCCATTCTGCTGCGGAGAGGCCGGAAGCGTGAACGACTGGGTGATGCCGTGCTCCGCACAGTAGGCTGCCAAGAGGTCTGAGGTGAACTCACCGCCTCTGTCAGAGTGCAGACGCAGGACAGGAAAGTCCCGCTGGAACCGCTCGCGGAGCTGGAGACGAACAACGCGGATCCAAGGGATCAAAACACCAGGGACGTCCCCCTTTCTGCGCAAGGGGAAGACCATGGTGTAACGCGTGTAGTCGTCGACGACCAGCAGGAAGTACCGCTCGTGGCCCTGTCCACTGACGCGGGCTGGGCCCCACACGTCCAGGTGGAGAGTCTGCAGAGGAGCCTCTGTGGGAGGGAACGAGGAGGAGTGAGGAGCGGCGCGCTGCCGCCCCTCGACGCAAGGAATGCAGGGTGGCGCAGGCGAGGGAGGTAGGGCAGGCAGAGACCTGGGAAGACCAGAAACCAGGGAGCGAGAGTGCATGCTACGAAGGCGAGGCAGGGAGGGGTGACCAAGGCGGTGGTGCCACAGGAGAGTGTCGTGCGACAAAGCGCGACACTCGCAGGGGGCCGCCAGC